GAGAGAGAGAGAGAGCAACCCTTGTCCCTAAAAAAAAAAGGATAATGTCTGAGAAAAAGAGACAAGAAGGTAGGTATGAAACATACACTGTTCCTAACCACCATGAAAGGCTTTGCATCGTGGTTGCAGAGGTCAAGGCAAACCTCCATGCCTGAATTACCAGACCCAATAACCAGAACCTTTTGCCCCTCCATTTCTGAACCAGTCTTGTAATCACTAGTATGAACCACTCTGCCTTTGAAAGAGCTCAAACCAGGCAAATCAGGCACCATTGGCTCTGCATTCTCCCCTGTTGCGACTACCAGCCACCTGCATATGTACTCCACTAATATAGACTCTCTCTCTCTAACCATTTCAGTCCTCACCCTCCATCTTTTCAACCCTGAATCATAACAAGCAGACTGTACCCTGCGGTTAAACCTCGGGCGTATATTAAACCTCTCTGCATAAGCATTAATGTAAGAAATGAACTGTTCTTTTGTGGGGTAGGTTGGAAAGGTTTGAGGAAACTCCATTAATGGGAGCTCGCAAAAATACTTGGGCAAATGGAGTTTCAGGCGGCCGTATGTTTTGTATTGCCACATGGAGGCCATGCAATCTTCTTTCTCTAGAATAATGGAGGGGACGCTCTGTTGCTTTAGGCAAGCGGCCGTGGCAAGACCAGAGGGTCCTGCACCCACAATTACAGGCCCACTGACCCAGAAACTGATAAGGTGTTGGTGTTGGTCTTGTGACCCTTTCCCCCGTTGCTTGCACACACAGTCCATCAAAATGGCTCTCACTTTCTCTCTCTACAATGATACTCTAGCTATCTCTACGAAAACTTCAACCAGGCACACTCCAAATACTAATGCTTTCTCTCTCTAAAGTGAAGAAAGCTTGGTCCGAGACACAGAGGCACAGTGAGTCTCTCTTTAAATGGCTGATAGCTTCTTGAAATGCAGGGTGTCTTGCTTCTTTGGCGGGCTTCCTCTCTAGGATAGAGAAGGTGGCGTCATGAATGCATTGATGGGAAATGCAGGGTGGTGGTGGGGCGTTGAATATAAGGGGGTGGAGAAGAGAAGAAGCGAGTACATGCATCTGATAAAACTGGCAAGAGAGAGAAGAGGGTTCGTCCTGCAAACGGAACATCTCTTCCGCACCCATCTCTTTCTCTCACTAACTTCTCTCTCTAAAACCCTCTTAATCCGACCCAACCTTCAATGAGGATACTTCACGGGCTATTAATAGTAGCTTAGCTCGTTGCAGCCCTTCTTCTAAATGTTACCAAATTCTCAAACTACCCCTATCTTCGCCGATTAATATCGGCTATTTCTTCTTAGACCGAGAGATACACGAAACTTCCTCATCATTTAGCATCTAGTACTCAATTTTTTTTGGTTTTTTTTTTTTTTTTTTTAAATGTTAACATAGATAGGTTCCAAGTATTCATTTTTAAATTTCATGCGACAGCCATTCCCCATTGCGTATGAATCCACAGGATATTTCACATGATGAAAATGGGTAATTTGGACTTTTCACGACTCTACGATAAACGGTAAAATATGGCACCTGTCTATATCTTTAACCAGAAACAAATCGGAAATTCTCAGACCTGTTGCACAATGTTCAAGACAAGGTCAAATAAACCTCAACCTGACTTCTCTCTCTCTCTCTAACTTCTACCTGGCTCTTTCTCTCTCCTAGTTTTGAACGTTTCTTGTATTTCCCTCTCTTCTCGTGCGCACCCGGTCTGTCTGTTTAACTTCAGAGTCCCACGCCTCATTTCGCTCTCTACCCAACACCCTCTTTCATGATTGCCTCAAAATCCTCTTAATCTAAAAACCCCCCCATCAACTATATGACATTCTAAAGCCCAATTCTTGTAAATCCCTATTCTCTCTCTCTTCATCTAACTTCCCTCGAACCAATGTCTCTTTCTCTCTCTACTAAAATATGCATTCATCTCTCTCTATGGGTGTCCAAATGAAATCTTTGTGAATCTCTCTACTATCCAGCCATACCACGCTTCTTTCTCTCTCTTACATCAGGGAGTTGTATTCTCGAGGAGAGAGAAACGGCCCGTTCCGGAACCCTCCTTTAAAGCTCTACGTACGGTAGACTTTCCCCTCTCCTGCAACGCCTATGAATGTGGCCAAACACCCTTTTGGACTTCATTCTCTTTTTTCTTTTTTCTTTTTTTACATATTTTGGATTTCATTCTCTCTCTCTAACGTCCCTTGGTCCCTTGTTTATGAGCCGTCACTTTTGAGCCCCTCGCGTCACGACAAGCCCCCATCGCTCGTGCCAAGGCACGTGACAGATTTCACCAAAAAAAGCCGCCCACGTCGGACTCCTCTATGCACGGCCGAAGCACACTATGTGCAGGAGTACCGAGAAAGACCGCATCTTTAGAATAAATATCCATACTGCCACCAAGTCATCCTAGCCCGTGGGTGGACCCCTCGAGTGGTTATGGACCTGGACCTAGACAATAGAACTGATTGATCGGGTAGGTCCATTGACCTTGACGCTACTAGGTTTGGGTCCGGCTTGGGTCGCATCTGAGTCGAGGCCAACCTAATCCAACTCGAATCAAAATAAGTAAATCCTTACCTCATAACTCACCAGAAATTGTATGTCGAGCATTGAAAAACCTTTACATACATCCATTCGACTTGAATATTATGGTTGTAAAAAAAAAAGGATTTCAAGCTCTTAAAATATTATATATTGTAACAAATTATCGAGACTATCCATTTTACTTTTAAAATAAATGTTCACATGTCTGCATCATCTATACCATTTTTTGGGTTTCAAGTTTGATTGGTGGTGCGGAAAATTGATTTTAAAACCATCATAAAGCCAAAGGTACTTTCCAGATGAAGCTTTAATTTATTTTTGTAAAGCTTAGACCTTAAAGAAACCTCATCCATATTAATACAAATTACATATAAATAATAAAATCAACTTTTCGATATTTTTATTTACAGACCTAATAACCCAATCCATTAGGTTGGGCCCGGATCCAAGAACCCGATCCAATCTAGGTCTACCCGGACACAACCCATTCCTACCCCTAATGCCCTTGCCCTGGCCTTCATGAAAAGCATACCAAGTGATCTATGTGACTACATGGAATATGGACACAAGAGCTTGTGCAATTATAGGTTGGACGGTGATGAAGAAATAGTGGACCTCAGATTGAATTCCATGATATTTGATGTAGCACATGCTTGAGCCAAATTACTCTATGATTTGACACTTACGACCACATGGTTTGGATGGTTATATGGATCATAATATTTCATTATCACCATCATAACTTTTATCCAACTATTTCGGGTCAGCTATATGAATCTTGATTTATCATTCTACTCTATTAAAGGTCATATCCTCAATGAGACTATAAGTCCCTATATCTTTTCGCATTATCTCGAATAATACCTTTTTAGGCTTATCACTTGCCAATTTTTAGCCTTCTATTTAAAGTAACTCGCATCTCTTTGCAAGTGGTTCCACCTAAAGTTTATGTTGGTTGCTTATCTAACACAAGTCACTTCTTTTATCTAGATTTGACGGGTCAAGAAAAAGTTTGAAATCCTCACCTTTTTTAAATCGATGGACCATAGTATTCCATTCCCTCGTATTCATGGTCATTCCACAAGGAAAGTGTCTACGCTCTTTATGCATTTATGAACGGGCCATTGCCCGTCAGGGAGGATCAGCGCTTTGAAAACTAACCAGTCGGTCACACATTCGTCTCAAACATGATCAAAACCATGTGGCTTGGGTTTTTCGAGATCCTTCAGGATCAGAAACTTTTTTAATAAAAAAGAGAAGTTGCTAAGAACTGGCAGGAGTTGAGGCGAAACTTGAGAGTTTTCGCTCCATACTGGTATCGATTGCAGGCTAACTTGACGATTTTTGAAACACGGGTGAGGGCAGAGGAAAATGTTGCCATAGTTGATAGTACAAGCGATTCTGGTGAAAATTTATGTCAGCACAAGGATTAAACTCGCAATTCATATTCTTTTTGAAACTTGGCATTTATTGAAAAATTCAGCCTTAACCACTTTCATATTAAAATGTCCCTTCCCTGCAAGATATGGAAATTACAAATTAGCAAACTTTATTTAAAAAAAAACGTTAAGCAAATTTCATTGAGGTAATGAACAGGTTACATTCGCAATAAAAGAGAAAGGAGAGAAAAAGAAATACAACAAAAAGGCAAAGAAAGGGGGTGAGAGAAAGAAGAGGAAAATGAAAGGGAAAAGGGAGGCTCTGGACCAAAGTCACCTGTTTAGCGAGACAATTTGCATCCGTATTGAAGTCTCTAACAACATGAGCAAAATTGACTTTTTTTCCTTGCACGAATAAGAGGATTTCATCTATAACATGGCTTAAAGTCGAATACACCATTTAATCACATTAGCTGAATCCCCTTCAATGATCAATGTCGAATGGGTTGGGATAAGTTTGGAGACCTCCATCTTGAGGGCCAGAGTTCCGCTTCATTAATATCACATTGGTGCTTGGTATGTCCAGAGGGTACCTCCTTCTGAATCCCACCCCATAGCCTCATATTTGTTGTTCCATCAAAATTGCAAATTAGGTTACTTGCCCAACGCCAATAAATTCCTTTCCATGCAAATTAGTTTACTAGCCTTGCCTTTAGTTTACTTGCCTTGCAAATTAGTTTACTTGCCTTGAGTCGAGTGATTTCCAAAAGGGCATGGGATGATATTAAACAAACAATTAGGGACATTTTCTATTATTTTCTGGCATTACAGTTAAAAAGTGGGTTTTGTCCTCGTCTCTGTCCTACGCTTCGTTGCACGCAGAAGCATCCACGTCACAATTTTCATCGAATTTCCCAAAAAACCGTTCCTTTTTCTGTATATGACAATTGTACTCTTCAAATGCAGGATCAATTTTTTGCAGTCGAATGAATACTTATCATTTTCGTTGTTTTTGGTATTTAATTGCGGGCAGGCACATTTGAGCCTCATGCACATGCACGTGGGTTGACCCATTTTCTTATCACATTTTAAAGTTTTGCATTTTTTAGAACATAAGGAAAAACACCTAGTATAGTAAATAAGTTTGTAACTAGAGAAGATAGATGGTCGAAAAATTAAATAAAATTAATGAACCAGGGGACTTCCCTATGGTTTAGAACCTCCGATAGGTTCTGAGAAGGTGGGAGGGTCCTTATGTTAGGTGATCGGTCCATGACATTAACTTGACCGGTGACAAAATCCCAAGAATTTTAATTAAAAGCTAACTATGAATTAGTGCGTTAAAATGAAATTCCAATTACCCCAAATTTCACCATGATATCAAATATAGTTATCGGATTGGTCGATCCGACAAACGAGGCTATTGAATGGTGCGTTGGCTAGTCCGGTAAATAAAAAATCGAGTTTGGTTGAAACTAGTCAAAACTCATATTTGACCGTTTTAACTAATTAGACAAGCTAATAAAATTCGATAATGTTTTTATAACTATACTTCATATCTTAGAAGTGTTAGCCTTTATTTTATTTTAATTTTTTTAAAAGGTGGTCCAACAGGTTCGACCTGCAACTAAACTAGTTTTAATTGGAGCAGATTCCTCTCAAATTCAAAGGCCATCCCAATTCTAGTAATAGTCAAATCCTCTTGCAAAAAATAACTATTTATGGCGTTTTGCCACTCGTTGTGGTGCGTTTTATGTAAGAAGAATATGACATATGTTAAATTTATTTAAGCTCAAATCATCTTGCATAGATTTGGCTATTTTCTTAATTTTGTTTTTCTTGGTGCCTTTCATGCCTTAAGTGATTTTCTCACACTTCTATTTTGAATATTATTATTTAAAATGTTTTAGATGTTTCCTCCAAAACACATGACATCCAGTATAGAATGTGAGGCATTAAATGTTCCTTTGGCAATGGAATCTCTAGCATGTAGTATATAACTCAATCAAATCTGAAATTCGTTATGAATTTTCCCTATTGCAAACTTGTTCACCATGCGATTTTCAAAAGAGAGTCACTCACCGTCTGATCTTAGATCCTAAGTGTCAAAGTATTTTATTTTTAGTTTTTTTTTTATACAAATTGTATGAATATGAAATTTGTTATGTGCCATCTTCTCAAGTGGGCGCACCTATAAAAAATATTAAAAATGATTTTTCGATAAAATATAATAATCAAAA